TTCTCTTTTTTTTTTTTTTTTTTTTAATGAGAGACGGCTACTAATGATGATATCACATTGCACATTGTTATCAGAAAGTATTTTGAATAAAGCGATTTGCGTGTAATTCTTTATGTAGAAAGGACATGTAGAAAGGACCAACCATGAATCTTCCAAGATACACCGCGGCTTATGATTTACATTCCCGGTTGAGCGGTTTTATTTTTCAAACATGACGGCGAGTCGCATGTCGCTTATCACTTTTATAAATTGTGAAGCGTGAGCATCTATCATAATGAAAATCTTTTTTATGGACTTGAACTATTTTCATCTGCAATTTATGACATTTGTGCACAAATGTTCTCTCGAGGTAAAGCTAACACATTTGTGACGATAACTGAAATATACGTACTTCCTGTCGCGGCTTGAAGATTAAATGCCTACCAATTTCCGTCCAGCTAGAAATTGCCTCGTGTCAGGGCGTTTTTCATCAGAACATCTACGTTTTCGTTTACGGCTATTATGGCTCGCTCATCCGTTCTTCGATAAAAGGATCACTTTCCAAACAGCATCCGCTGGTTGTTTTACGATATCTTAATTCTATTTATTTCTTTATTTTATTTATTTCTTTATTATAATTTTTATGCATTCTCGATTAAAAGTAGAAAAGAATTCGATTCAACGTAGAAATACTTAAAAAATGGTATTAAAAAATAATAATTGTCAAACTTTTTATTATCAAAATGCATTCTTGATTACTATTTCTATAAAAGTATAATTTTAAGTGTTTCTATCTCAAATAGAAGATTCTTATAATATAGAAATATAAATTATAATAAAGAAATATAATAATAAAGAGACTATTATTATAACTATAATTATAAAATATTTCCTAATTGTTAGAATCTTAATTAAGATTAAGATTTTAAAATAGTTTGTACACAATTATGAGCACAACATTTATTCTAATATTTTTAACTTTAATATTGATGAATCAAATAAAATCCAAATGGATTTTAATTAATGGAGAATTTCAATTAATTAATTTTCTCTATCAGTCATTATCAAATATACGTATAATACGCGTCGACATTTTTGATATGCTTTCAAATCCCCGAAGTCCAACACATTCATTTATTACTGTCTCGCGTTACTTTCAAACACGATTAATTAAAGGAGCAATGGATCTTTGGGGAGTAATAAGTGCAAGGTATCACGTAAGCGGGCAGTATTAGCGCAAAGGGCGGGGTGAAAACCAGCTCTCGTTTGCAAGTCGTCATCATAGCCGTCTCTTCCCTTCCCGGCGCAGCCGAAAGGATCAATAGACGTATCTAAGCGAGTAGTGTATGTGCCAACTCGTTTGAAAGGGTTAAACTTTTCGCGGATGGGAATTCGATTTAGCCGTGGTGGAAACTTCAAAGAATTTCCGTCCGCTGTCAGAATGTATTAAATACACAGCTCACGCGAATTAGATCGTCAGATGTAAATCGCGAATGCGGTTGAGATTGCGTGCACCATAAAGTCTGAACGAGTCAAAGTACTTCTGGAATTCCCAGGCAAGAATGCGAGTTATTTGCATAATCTATCCAATAATTCGCGCAAGCGTGGCAATGTGCATCGAATTACCATCGCGAGCATCGAGAGAGATGGTAATCGTCAAGAGACTCGTGGCAAATGGAACGTTTACACGCGAGAGATCGTTTCGTATAATAGAGCCCTTCTCCGTTTTTATTCGATTCTGATAATCAAGCGAACTTTTTCACAATCTTAATATGCACTCGTATAAATAATTATTTTTTTCTCTTATCAAAATATTGGTATTTTTTCCGATTCTCTTATAAATAACTTTTTATTCTTATATTCTTATAATTATATTCTTATATTTTTATAATTTTATCAAATTATAAATAATTTTATTTTACGTCATAATTTTTTTCTAATGCAAAATATTAAAATCTCACTAAAATGAAATATGATATATTATTGTCTTATCTCAGAATTCAGATTTATATCGAAAGCACATCTTTTTACTGCGGCATTGTTTCACTTTCTGCATTAAAAAATTTCTGATGAATAGAAAACTTGCAGGTTGAAAGTATTTCAACATAAGCTCTTGGCAATTACAGGACATCGGTTAATTAACAAGCAATCTTGCGAATTGAATTGCGGTCTCGTAAGAATGTATCGGTCGCTGGAGGATTAAAAATGTCTCTCCGAGTCAAGCGTGTCAAGGTCGTGCGAGAAGATTGTGCTCGTTCAGAATATGCGGCAGGTGCCACATGGCACGACCTGCACGCATTTGCATCCGCTCGTCGACGCGATCGCGAAAAGAGACAACGTAGGGCAGCTCCGAGGTCGGCTCAAAATAAATCTGGTAATTTCTATTGGTAATAAGTTCAGTAGTTTCGCGATGTTGCATTATCGCTCGATCGTCGGTGCAATATTGCGCAATAAATTCTCATTTTATTCGGAACTTTAAGCACAGCTAAGTGAACAGTCCTTTCCTCTTTAAAATATAATATGATTCCCATTTTTAACTATAATAATATGAATAGAGTAACTTTCTCTAATATTTTTTTCTTTAATTTAATTTATACTTACGAGGGAATGTTTTATTTCCACTAGCAATTAAATGCACGATTTTTCGGGATAAATCACTGAAGCATCTTGCGAGGGCGTCTTTAACTTGAAACACGCAATACGCATTATTGATTCTGCGTTTTCGCTACCTATTCTCCCTTGTGCATCTTATAAAAATAGGATAGACGCAAATTCATGCTCAAGATGACGCAGTTGCTACATAAAGATTATTTTTACAATATATATATTTACGTGAGTAAAACACAAACTAAAGTTTGTGTATTGATTTGAAAGTTTCACGACAGTTTGAGGTCACTATTTATTATAGCATCGCACAATATACATAAAAGTAATTCTACTATCTGCATGAAGAAGAAATTAGATGATATTAACATTTTATCGAAATATGAAACATATATGAAATATGTGTTCGTACGCAGATGTAGAAAAACTGATTATCAGAGTTAGGGGAGTTAACATTTCGGAATATGTATAATAGTGATATCAGTTTCTTCTATAGTGATATCAGTCTATAGTGATATCAGTTTTTTCTAGATTTACAGATTTCCGCGACATCTGGATCACAATCATGATCCTGCGTTCACTTCGCTATCATGACAGTCTCATGACAGTGAAGTGAACGCAGGATTTTAAAAGATTAAAAATTAAAAGGTATTAAAAGAATAAAAATTGCGTTGCAGTATAAAGATATTTTGTCTTGTTTCTATAGATAGTGATCTATAATAGCAAACGTTCACAATATATTACGTAACATTTTTTTTATTAGAACAAATTTTGATTCAGTCAGCTTCCGTATTCCGTCAATTTTTTTAGTAGAGATCTTCATGAATTTTAGATTTCAATATATTCTCCATAGAAATGTTTTTCATTGAATTTGTAAATGCTACAATGTTTCTACTGTTAATTCTTTTTTTATTAGAATATGTTTTACATTTTGAATGTAAATTAAAGTGTGTTGTGCGTGTTGATGCGACAAAATAAGTCTTCTCGGCAAGATAATAAGCTTGTTTAGTTTCAATTTTTCTTATCAACCGTTTTTATCTATAGAAAACTTGGATTCTTAGTATTCTTGATCCAACTTCGCATTTTTCTTCTTTCTGCTTATCTGAAGAGAAAAGAAGACCAATCACGAAAGATACAAAGACAGCTGCTTCGTTTTTCCATTAGAGACCGGCGTCGTCGCAAAGAGAGAAGGAAGATGTTTCTCGTGGCTGCGGGGGCTATTATCGCGATCGGGGAGATAGTAGGCCAACTTTCGAGATGACAGTTTTATTCTCCGTGCATGTCGGACTGTGCAAAAGCGAGCCGGTCGGCGATCCTCGCGAGTATTGAGCGGGGGGAAGGGGAAAGAAATCCTCGAGCACGTTTTCGCTACTTTCCGAGCACGATATCGTGAGAATTCGCGGTGAAAAGTGGGCCCCGTGGATGGCGATCCCGCGCGAGGATAAAAGTTGAGAAACCGAGGGAAATCCCGGCGACGCGACCTAGGACGAAAAATCGGCGCGCGCGCTCGTTCAGATAAATCGAGAGAGAGGCAGGAAGCGACATGAAACGGAGAAGATTCACGATGCGCTCGTACGCATCATTTTGACAAAACATACCCAAGTGGAACGGATTTTATCTTGATAAATAATCTTATTTTATATTCCGAAACAATTTCCTACATTCTTTCTTAGTTTTCGAATGCGATTTATTAAACGTTATTTGTCGAAAAATTGTATAAATTCTTAGCTAGATTTTTTTTATTCTAACATTCTATATTTTCTTGTAAATAAAAATTTATAATAATTATTAATAATTAGTCAATGGATAAATGCTATGCTTTCTGTCAATCTTTTTTCACATTGCGTACTATTGTTGCATTTCGCATCTTCTATATTTCTCAATTGTATTTAATGATTTAAACAAGACGCTCTTAATAAATAGATTGTACTCGCGTTTTCGACCCATATATTTCGACTAATTCACGTTGATCAATACAATTGAGATTTATTTGTTCTACAATTAATACGGCACGTGACTCTTTCCTTATCATTGATACCGCTCGA